TGAGCTGTTGGAAAGAAGGGTGGAAATGGTTTGAGTACTTTATGTCTTCAAGAGGCCAAGTGTGATCAAAGGGTAGAAGTTGCAACAAGCTTACGTCGGGTTAAGGAAATCCGATAGTTCGCAATGGTGGCTGTTTAAACAGACAGGATATTCCACTAGGCCTCTTGTGCTGAAAGTAAAATTGTTTTCTGTATGTGCATGCGCCAGGAGTAAAATCCCATTCCATGTGAAAAGCACGCACAGTCATTTATGTGTAGATTAGGCAGGTTGGTAATGGTCTCAATAGTAAAATGAAGTGGAACGAGGGCCTCAAGCGCTTGGCCATTTACAACCATGACCATGGAGAATGGAAGAGGAACATTTTGATTGAATTCCAAAGCAGACCGAATCTGCCAGTGCCCATATTAAGCACTTTACCAAAATTGGTTATGACTGCACATATGTGTCGTAAAAATGGCTTCCGCAGTTTCCACAAACATTCCTGTTTTGATTTTCCAGAATGTTTATTTTTGGAGTGTACTTTTTGAGCACCCTAAAGCACCTTGTAATTCGAGATTACTTCCAGTTTCTTCGATTGGCCTTTATCACGTCAAGATAGGCTTTAAATGTTGTAACAACCACTATGGGACCCAAGACCAATCAAGATACCACATATAATATCCCGTGTCTCCAGCAATTGGCCAGTGGTCAACCCGGCATTCACCATGCCTCCAGCTTGCAATGGTAGATCAGTAATCCTTACTGGCTATTATTGGGGTTGGGAACCCGACAAAGTCTGTAATCAAACACAAGAATGGCGGTTCATAACGGTGCCAGGTGATCTGATAGTACTTCTTGTTCGATCATGTAAAAGCCGCATTTCGCCATTTTCTAACCAACCCTGTGAGACTAAAGCCGACTCATGGATAGAAAAAATCCAGTTAAACAAATTACGCTTAGATACACAAATTCCGCTTTCTTTTTTTTAACTAAGCAATACCGGGTTATGTATTACAGGTCAATCTTCATTGTGTGCAGTTTCGGATTGGCTGTAATCACATTCAGATTTCGGCAACGATTTGATCCAAATATATAAAATTACGTTATTTATGAATTTGTTCCTTACTTACGGGCAGATAAAATGGGAATCTTGCTGCATTTGAACAGCGCACGAAAATTACTAGCCAATGGTAGACCACAAAATTTGACAGTTAAAAGAATCGATGATGTCATAAGAGGGGGAATTTAAACTTGTTTACATTATATTCAGTGTATCTACGATACTTTTACTTATTGCTACTACGACGCCGACTTTGAAGGACATGTTGGCAGAAATGTAAGCAGGGAGAATGGAACTATTTGGTTGCCTAATTTTTCCACCAAGTGAATAATGAGGTGACGCTTTATTTGACTGCACTGACTCTTCAGTCTCTGCCAAATCTTTGGTTATCCCGCTATTGTATTGTTCAAGCTTTTCCATGCTGAAATGCGTCACGACTCCATGGCGGACTCAAGGAGATAGTATAATAATGACTTTAAAGTCCTATTCATCACTTAGAGGCTTAAAGATGGCTATAAACTTTTCGATCATGTAAAATTAATTTCTGTAGAATACGAGATAACATGTATCCAAAGTTGTAAGATATGTTTCTTTGATTGTATGTTTTAGGTGACATGCAGTCAGATTACATCAATTCCGTGGCTAAGTGGAGGCCATGGGTGCCCAAAGGGGACACGAACACTGATCGGTAATAAAACATTAATTATTTGTAAAATCCCTCCATATTGCACACCATAAGATGTGACACGTTGATAGTTTTTTTTAACTCTGCGTTTGACCAGCAGAGCGCTTTAGTCTCTGTAGATCGCAAATCGCCTCGGCGGCGTGGCCTTCGGGTCATGTCGGTAGCCTTTTGGTCCATTTACTTGATAGCAATATATGTTCTGCCATGCCAATATGGCGTCCGCCTACTTTGGAGAGGACAGATAGCTTCCTCTATCCAGTCTTCTAGATCCGAGGGTCTAAAACTGGAGGTGGAGGGGCAAAACAATGATAACACTACAATGACTGTCCAAGTCAGTCTTTTGAAATCCCTGGAATATCCATATATGGACGATCCAGATTAGTTCCAAGTATTTCATCTTAAAGGGTTGCAATTAACCGTCCTCGTACTTGGGGTTTAAATGACAAAAGAAATAATTGAGGTTTGATGGAACGCTCTCCGGTTAAGCTAATAGCTTCTTTTCTATAAAATTAATCAACATTAAAAAGGCTTTTTGATATGGAAGTGCCTATAATTTCATACTAGATAACTCTTTCATGCTTTTACAATCACTGTGCCAAAGAGATTTTAAATAAGTGTGCTTTAATCGGGGCACACTAATTGTCTATTTCACTTTACAACCAGCTGCAATACCGTGGTGATCGCCAAAATGTCCAATTCCCTACTTCATTTCTTAAGATAAGGGTTATATGCCTGGCGCTGCATTGCTCATCATTTCAAGGTGGATCTATATCAAATTCAGGTCAATAGGATGGTGGTTTATCCCTCGGTATTGGTGAGGCGCCACTTTTGTACTTTGAATTATCCCTCTTGTACCTCGCTGGGTGGGCTGGCCTTTCGGGCCATGCCAGTAGCCCAGACACCTTTTCTGCTTTGAATATATGTATTCCGCCCGAGTATTGTGTCTTCTTTCGTCTTCAGGGAGTCTCGGAACGCTACATTGGTGGCAGCGGAAAGCGAACCCGATCTTAGAGGACATGTATCCTGATTTTCCACTTCTGCATGATAAGCCTTAGTGTAGCGGAAGAACTACATATGCTACGGATGGGAGGATGGTGATGACCCCTAGTAGAAGGGTTGATGTTGACGTCTACCTTCGGCATCTCTCCCAGTCCCGTGTTCTGCAGAAAAGCTATTAACAACTGAAGCGACACTAGCCATAAAACATCTGGAAGTTTCGTTACGAATTTCCCCTACCGTCCCCCATGGACCTGTTTTAAATCTTGTACTTCCTTACTCAAATCTGCTTTTAGGCCAGTGTTCCTGCATCTATCTATGGACACGGATGATGGCCGGCGCAGTTCCCCGTCCTGAATCAAAACCCTAAATCGGACGAAACCCCAGATCCAGTCAAGCCGCCAAGAGGGATCGGTGACGTTGAGGTCAAGTATCCCCTCAGTTGCGCACTAATTTGGTGACTGGCACTGTCAGATCATGGGCGTTTACAGCACCGACTGCGTTGTAATGGCTGGCGCGGGAGGTTGACCAGTGGGAGCGCCGGGGACGACGCTCAAAAGAGGAGGGAGGCTATGTAATACGATGGTGGTTTATCCCCAGTATTGGTGAGGCGCCACTTTTGTACTTTGAATTAGCCCTCCTGTACCTCGTTGGATGGGCTGGTCTTTCGGGCCATGTCAATAGCCCAGACACCTTCTCTATGCTAAATACATATATTCTGCCCGAGTATTGTGTCTTCTTTCGTCTTCAGGGAGTCTCGGGACGCTACACAGGTACTGAACAATCATTCATTCATTCGAGATTTAGTATCCAACTCTTGAAAGATCTGAAGAGGGAAAAACAGACAAAGTACTTCTTTGCAGTACTTAGAAAAGACAATTATAAGTAGATAAAGAACTCACCTTTTCAAAGTGCAGTTGCTTCATGTACAGCCGAAGGAGTTAGCTCACATGCGCTAGTGAGGAAATGGAATTAGTGCATCAGAAAGTACATACTTCAAATCCCGCCTTAAATAGGTAACTAAAACATCGGCATACTATTGGAGACTCAACCTCGTGACCGATTAATTGATGGTACAGACTTGCCAGGTCTGGGAACGAAGTTGCTATTTTTACTGGATCCAAATTTGCGATCTATTTAAACACAGCGCAAACGCTAGCAGGATGTGAAAGCTGATGCGACAGTCAAACTAGCAGCCTTATGCAACGGCGATTCTGAAGATGGAGGTGTCAACAGAAATGATAGTTCAATGATGTAACAAAACGTAATGCAGCATCTAAAGACAGCCAGATGGCAGACCTGAATGCAAAAAGGATAGAACAATTGTAAGGTATGTGGTTTGGAGCGCTTGTCGTCCATCCCATTGATTTTGAAATGCTAAGTGTCCTGTCCGTTTATTGCATCTCAAAGAACTGTATAAAATGAACAGTTACAAAGGAAGGAACTTTAAATTTTAACTTTGACTCTTTCGTTTCTGCTGTTGATTCCGCACTGATTGCAATGGAGCATTTATTTCCTTGGGTTTCCTTAAGTTCCGGGTCTGCTGCAAACATAAGATCTTCTGACATTTCTCTGAGAGGCATTATGGGACATTCATTGACTGCCTAAAGAAGCTACCCATTTGTGGAATGTACTTCAAGGAAATACGTTACACAGTCGACAAAATCAATAAGCATTTAAGCAGAGGAATTCTTTGGTAAAACTAAAGCACTAAGTAAAGTGCAAAGGATACTCTAATGCTTGTGTTGTTTAAATGTTCCTTTCAGAGAGGAGGCAGGTAGTCAAATCCAACCAACCTCGGTGTTCTAAGGGTAGAGAGGCCAAGGAAGAGGATATAAACGAGCCTCATCCTGCACCAATGTCAGCAGTGGAATGGAAAAGGGGGTTGAATTTAGCTGGTTAAAGCCACTCTTCAAAGTTCGTGTCGTCTCTGAAAGGGGGAGTTTGGTTGAATGCATAACTCTCGGTTTCAGTAGAGGGACCACTTAGGTGCTCTGCCATTCCACATTCACTGGGTGCGTTGTACTCTGAGCCGTTCCTGTAGCCTTGAGTTCTGCTGTTTCGATTTAGTACTCTGCTCGAGAATTATGGACTCTTTGCTCTTTAGAGATGGCTCAAGAGGCAACATGCATTTTTAACTAGTTTGGCATATGGTTATCAAGAAATGTAGTCGCCAGCTGGACTGTTTTTAGCTGAACTCTAATATCGTTTTGTTAAAATTGTTTTGGAGATTACAGGTTAAATTTCAAACAACTGTCTTTTACGTTTGTTTATTCGCCTATGACTGTTTGTGGGCCGTTTGAAAAGATCGACGGACCTAACATTGCTCGAAGATTACGTGGTCGGTGTGTATGCCAACCAGTAGTTCGCACGGGTTTTAATAGCAGCGTGCTCCCAAGTATGTTCACTAATTATTTTGTTGTATTTGCAAGTGTTGATGCCTTAAACATGTTATGTTGAGGAATTAAATATGGTTCCAGCATACCACAAGCTGGATGCATCCTTTAAAATGTTTCCTACTTGCATTAATAAGATGCCAAATGATTTGTTCATAGATTTATTGCACACTTTTGGGATGCTGTTTGTACTAAGAGGAGGAATTTCAGTACTTCTTATTCGTATCTTACCCATATTTTGCGAGATTTCTGTTAGGAATAACCCAAATTGATCTTGTTCACTTCCAATTTCTCCTACTGAATCTGTTGGTTTGGACTTTTTAGAAATAAAACAGCGTCTTGGATATGGTCTACTGACCAAATGTTCATGGATGAGCAGTCGAATGCATATCCTATTGTAAGTCCTGTCTTCATTACCTTGGGGAATGCTCTTCATTTAATTTAATTGTGCTTCAGTAACAAATGTAATAGTGAATGTCTTTCATTTGTATGGCTCCTATTATCGAAGTAACTTACCTGTCCACCAGAAGCATAAACTATCATATTTACTCTTCTTGTGTGCATTTGCTTCCTTTTCTGGGCCTATTTCACTAGGCACAAGTGTAATGCGATTAAAATTGAACTGGACTTTCTTTGTTTTAAGGATGGGTCGTTCGTGTCTCTCTGTTATTCCTCGAGATATTATAACTTCATTAATAGTACTTATTTGTGATTCGGTGGATTATTGAATCATAGCTCTGGGCTGAAAAATATGTGCATGGAAGAAATCACGTGTGCCCGACCTTTACTTTTGCTTCGAATAGTTGGTAATCAGTGCACTTTCTCACGTGCTTTGTAGGATCTATTTGTGTCCTTTTTTATGCTAGAATTCGTTCACTCATAATGTTTTTAAATTAATCTAAACATTCTTCTGAGGCGCTATAAATTCGTCACCATGTGACGCTCTTAAGTTGTTAGAGCAGGCTTTTAAAACATATCTGGGAAACACCAAGGTTATTTGCTGTGTCTACTACAAACTTCACGCATGTAACTCCCCCATTATCTGGCTCTGATGCCACAATGACGTGGCATATTGTTTCTATTAGTTTAGCGATAACTGATTAAACCAAACCGTACTGCAAATAAAGTGGGTGAGTTTAAAACAACAAAACGGATATTGGAGGTCCTTGCTCTGAGGGTAGTTACTTACGACAGCAATTCACATTTAACCCTCCGAGGGAAAAGTACACAAGTTCTAACCAGCAAACGGGAGATTCAAGATCTGTATCTACATAAGGTGACGAAAAACTTCTGGTATGGCTCACTTATGCGGACTTGTAAAGTGCATGTGATTGTTTATATGCGTGCGTTATGAAGCCTAGATGAAAATGCGTCAATCGACTGGGACGATGCATTTTACGGCGCTCTCTACCATTTCTCTCCCACTTTTAACCTACCTTTCTATCATTAAATGTCGGTTAAATCTAAAGGATGTGAATCGAGCCCATCTACCTTACAAATTTGGTTAACTCAGTTTTTGGCGAAGGTGCAGCGGCAAAACCTGCCTTTCAAAATAAGTCGCTAAACTTATTACACCCCTGTGTCGATGATCTGGAAGTCAATTGTGGGGCTGAAAGGGGATTATGATAAACTGCGGTGAAAGTGGTGGATGATTCAATCCCCAACTTTGCATGAAGTAGTTTGTAGAAGATTTGACATGTCTGATACGTTCGTCACCGGAGCGAAAGCCGATCGCTACGGTCCATAAGGGGGTGTGTTCTTCCCAAAGGTATTCTGCTCAAAAGTTAACCAAATGTTAGCACCTAAAACCGATGACATCCCATACCTATTTTGCTACATCAAAAAACAACCGATCCGTTTGGTTTTACTAGTCATTTTAAGCCGATAAAGCTCCAAAGCTATGCATTTGTGGTATGCGGATGAAGGTACATGACGCTGGTAGCGTCCTAAAAATAGTGTAAAGCTGGATGATGATTGGTCGCTTTTCTCTCCGGTTTCTCTCTACTGTAGTAGTAACTACGTCAAATTTTTTTGCTGCCAATTTTTAACTCATGGGTAATCTGGGTAATAATTCCAATTGCCTCCACTTAACTCGTCATGACCTTAAAAGCATGATGAGTCATTCTGGGGTCGTGGTAGCGAAAGGCTTGCTGAATGTCCTTTTCGAGTCTTTTAGGTCCAAAAGTAAGCGTACTGCCACTTTGCAGAAGGTTTGAGGGCTTAACAGCACCAACATGGGAACCGAACTCCTCCCCAGTAACAGATATAACCAAAATAAATATTTTGTTACTATACCTTTGGTCTCTCAAGCTCACCGGTGACAAGGGCTGAACCACGTTCTAAAACGGGAAAACTTTCTGCACTACTCACGTCTTCTATGGAACTTTGTCAAAGATGAATTTGCTCTTCACTTACTTTTTTAGTTGTGCCGGTGCAAATGGTACTGTTAGAATAGTTTCTGTTCGTCAAAAGCTGATCATGCTGCAAAACTCACCAATATAGCGTTAGGGTTACCTTTGAAGATGCAGTTTTGCTCTAGATGCAAAGAAGGTTTGGGAGACTAGTACCTTGGACACGACGTGAAAGATTCGTGCATTTGAAAGTATGATTAAATCATAATTTTGCATTCCCATTCAATCCAAGCAGCGTCGACTCTTAAGTCGCAAATCGAAGCCCTCCATGGAAGACCTCGTGGATCACCATCGATCCACTTATTGGGCTTCTCCCTCTTCCTCCACTTCCAACCATCTCCATGGCAGCAACGTCAATGGCGATCGCGTTAATGTTGTAAGTTTTGTATGATCTCGATTACTTTACCTTACTTAAGTCCTTATTTAATTGAGAATTTTTAAATCATCCTATCTTTGCCCTACTATTTTCACTTAACCATGTGTCAAGTTTTGTTCTATCACACGGATTCTATTGGTACGCAACTCCGTTGTGCTCTCTGCTACTTTCCTCCTACTTTTACTCCTCTTACGTCCAAAGCCATTTCAATCTAATATTATTCGAGCTTGCATGTCTTCCAAGTTTAAACTAGATTCCAAAGTCACAAAAGCATCCCGCCAAATTTGTGGCATAGCACTTGGTGAGGCTGCAGTAGGTGCTGGCAGAAACATACGCCCAAAAATAG